AAGTAATTTCGTTTATATTTTGAAAAGTTTTATAACTTTGAGAGCATTGTATTTTTACAATAAAGCTATTTTGCTGAATATGTATACAGTATTTACAGTGCGCAGAGTATCTAGGTCAACAATGCCAGCACCGTTTGGCTCATTAATCTGAATTGCTTCACTCTTCTTTCGGAAAAAAACTAGCGTCTAGCGTTTCAATATTCAAGGGACGAAATAGGGACATCGTAACATGATAACTTCATGACTTCCGTACGTACCGATGCTGCGCTTGCGGGGTTTTTTCATGCAACAATTGTCGGTTCTTCCAGTTCTGGGTTTACACTATCAAAAGAGCGCTTTCGTCGCCATCATCTCGTATACCCATCGACCATCAATTAGCCGAACGACCAGAGTCATATCAGACCTAATTTGGCAATTGCAATAAGCTATGCCGCCATGGATAACATTAGCAGTGGAACCAGATCTAGCCTATATATAACGTTTCTGAGATAGCCGTTTTAAGGCTACATCATAATGCATTGTGATTGATCAATAGAAGGTCCTTACAAGCTTAGGTGGCGTCGGCTATATTCATAGTGGGGATAAAATATTCTTGCAAATTTCCTGAAAAAACGTTTGAAATTTAGAGCACAGCAGATGCGATTGCAGACCCGATTTTATATGCAATTAAAAAGTTAAATACTGACCACTATTAATATTTTAAAAGATTAGCCGAGTATGTTTAAAAGAGTTGAATATGTGACACTTACTCCCCCCCACCCCCACCCCCCGCCCTGTGCTTGGCACGTCCCTGGTGTGCAATCATCGATTAATATTGAAATTATTGAAATAATATTATTTAAATATCATGCATTATTTACATATCATTTACAGAGTTAGCACTATAAAAACAATACCAGATACAATATATATATATATATATATATATATATATATATATATATATATATATATATATATATATATATATATATATATATATATATATATATATATATATATACTATATATATATAAATATATATATATATATATATATATATGATTAATAAAAACACTGTTTATAAAGTAAATTCATGCATGCATGGAGTTTCGTCTGGTCATTTGAAACTACCAACATGATATTTCCAAGGTTAAAGATCGTACGTATTGTTAAAAGAACTTCGATAATCCGTGCTGCGCCCATGCGCATACACTAGCTCTATAACTTAACAACCACCCAATTTCCATATCTGGATATGATTTTTCCCTTTTATAGTTTCAGAAAAGAACTGCTAATGTGGATGGTAGCAATAGTGCCAAGTCCATTGCAGTAATAGCTATCATAGCAAAATTTTGTTTAGATCTTCATTTATGACGAAGCTGTTAGTGAGGTAGGATTTTATAATTTTCTCCTCGCACACTTGCCAACAATCTGCTACACTGTATCCCCCCCCCCCTCTTTCACCCTCCTTCAATCATTATGACTTCTTTTTTACGAGAGGAAATTCTATAATTCTCAGTTTTTATTATTATAAGTAATAGCATGGCTTTCAGGTCGATTCGCTAGCGATTAAATGTCCCCGAAAGCCGATGCAGGTTGAGTAAAAGTCCCGAGGGCGAAGCCCTTTTACTAAACCTGCCGAGGCTTGAGGGACATTTAATTGCTAATCGACCGAAACGCCATGCTATTAGTTTGTAATATTAAGGCTACCGAGACAATAGGAATACTTTTATAGTTATTCGATGTGCTGGGAGATAAATAAATAACAAAGGCGGGTATTTGGCATAAACATTAGGTACGATTAGTTAGTAATCGTCCCTAATGTATATGCATCGGGTTATTCCCCGAGCCGGTGCGGAGCACCGTGCGAGGGTACTAATTCCGCTCGGATATTTACACCCACGATGTGCAAAGGCGAAATCAAAGTTGTCCGCCATTATGCAATGGACCTCACGCCATGGACGGTCTTCTACGTTATGCGCATGCGCCAGTGTGAACTACTAAGCTTTTGATTGGTGGAGTCAAAAATTTGTATTTTTAAACGTCAATGAATAACTGTCATTTCGCAAAATTTTGATGAAATTTATAAATATATCTTTTCATAAATTTGGAATACATGTATTTTTAATTAAATTAGAGGGAAAATCGAATGTGGTCAGGACTTTTCACGGTTTAACAAATAACAAGACCAAATTTTTGACCGAATTCACCGTGTCCGTGTATAATGAAGTCGGAAGATTTTACACTTGGTCTTGATAATATTTCACCCGGCACAGCTTTAAAAAGTAATTCTTTTGTGATTCTCAAATGTATTTCACTATATTTAAAATTTGAATGTGTTATGTGATATACGACATTATAATTTCATTTATAAATTCCGTTTTCATAATGACAAAAAAGAAAATCAAAACATTCCCGTGCAAAAACCAGTCGAGACGTAAAAATAAAACTTCGGAAGTCGTATGAGAAGTCTGATGCTATATTTCATGCTAATTAATATTTAAAATAATTTACCATAACACTGAGTATAGATGAGTAACTTAACTTCCAGAAAAAGGTAAGAATCTTGTCGTATTTTTGCCATTTTTCACAAAAATACGAGGGTAAACTTTGAGTGACTTTGATTCTTTAAAAATATATGGCCGACGGCCGTTGCGAGTTGCTATGACTACAGTGCTTCCACGTGCAGAAAAATATTTCCATACTTTTCTCAATTTCTTTTTCTTACATACCATGTACCCTCCAAAATCCAACCCACATAAATTTGCTAACAATCATGGTACCATCCCTATGCTTAACTAATTTCGTTTAACCGAGGCGAGGGGTTTCTGCATGCGTGTATTTCTAGTTAGTTGTTAATTGGTACTAGTAAAACAAAGGATTTCAGGCAGTAATATGAAATAGCATGTAAAATATGAAATAGCATGGAATGTTATTGAATATTTTGCCGGCTCAATGCCTGTATATGCATGCCACTGAGCTATATAATAATTCCTGGAGGACCGGCTCCTGGCCAGAAAGTGAAGCAAAAAACATGGCGGATTTTGAGTTTTGCTGACGCCACATGGTCCCCTTTGCCCATGGTAATTACCACTTACATACCGCGATACAAAGTCAAAAACGTGTCCGTCACCCTCCCGATTTTTATGAAAATATTTTTGGTTTTCGGTATTGTTTTCGGCATATATTTTCTCCGCATTTCATCTAAAAAGTCTCTTTTTCACCGTTCAACAAGTTAAATGGAGAAGTGTTTTCTTGCTCTACTTATGTTGCTGTGAATGGCCTAATTCACCTATCGGGATATTAATTTTTACCTCAGGTGAGCCGGTTTTCATAACATTTTCGTTTTTCGCCTTTGGTATAGACAACTACCAAAGCGTCTAGCTGTTGCAGTAATTCCTTTGAAATTAATGTTAAAAACGGCAAATATGCTTCCGCCTTTTTGATCAATGGTACGTGATTTAGTTACTCTATGAAAAACTATATTTTATGAAAAAAGATGAATAACTGATCTTTTGAGTTTTGGTTATGTTGTTTTTTTGAATAGAACTCTTATGGGATTTGAAAATGTCAGGCACTGGAGCTTTGAGCTTTCCCTCATATTTAATGCCAATTCATGAGTATTTTCATTCAAACAATTAAGTTTAATCAATATTCAATCCTCCCAGTGAATCTACTAGTCTCTCTATTGATCCTTAGTCTGTTTTCGATGAATTTAAAACATTAAACATGATGATTGTGTGAGTGCTGATACAAAATATTTCACTGTTAGATTTCAACAGTGTTTGTTAAAAGTCTAGTATGCTATCTTGTTTGCCTTGTCAAATGCAAAGTCAATAATCATGGCTTAAACTGTTAATTTTACCATTTTGACTTTGTTAGTTATAGTTACAATAGTTATTTAAATGGAAAATAAATTTATACAGACATGCATTGACTGAGCAGTTTGTTTTCAATTTGCAGCAACTTTTATAATTTTCTGGAAAGTTTTACCCTCCCTACCATTACAAGAAATATTATCATAGGGCTAATCAGGAATTGAAGGTTAATAGCTAGATTATAGACTAATGGAGGAATGAATAGGCTCAGTTGCATTTTCATTAATTCATAAGACATTTGTTGATAGCACAACTGGTTCTATAATCTTCTTGGTACCATATATAATCAAATTTTTGTTATTTACCATGGCCTTTCTTTGCATTATCTGGAATATGATTCCACTCAAATCCTCGAGTCAAGCAGGGAACCATTTGAAAGTGCATTACTTGGGATACAGTAAGATATGGGTAACTTATAGCTATAATGACCTGAATGAAAATATCCTATGCGAATATATCTTGAAGTACTATTACTAATCAGCCACCCAGCATCTTGCATGAGGTTTGGCCTTTGTTTCCTTGAGTTATGCATAGGCTGATATGCATAAGCATGATGCTCTAAGGAAAACATCACATAACCACATATTTTCTGCCGGTAACCTTTAGTCGGCGATTGATATCCGAAAGATAATCGAAATTTCCGACAAGACTCGAAAAATATTTAAGTATTTTGAAAATTTTACACAGAAAATATGTATGAATAATGAAAATAAATAAATAAAATAACCTGTCAGCTAATCGTATAAAAATCCTTCGTCCACAATTTTTTTTACGTTTTAATATTTATTATTTCTGGCATTGGCAAAACAGCGTCAACGACTTGTATATAACTGAAATAAACGCTTTATTGCAAGCCTTTGTAGCAGAAAAATAAATCGAAAAATACAAAACAACAAGGTTTCACGGCACAAACAAAAATATTCATACAAAACCAGGGGGGAAATACTGTTGTTTAGATAAACCAGGGGGGAGCATTCTCTTGTAGCGGGCTCATATTTGAGCCTGGTCAGTGGTAGTTACCATGGGCAAAGGGGACCATGTGGCGTCAGCAAAGCTTCTACGCGTGCGCAAAAGGGCGAAGTCCGCCATGTTTTTTGCTTCACTTTTTGAGAAAAAAACATTAGGAGCCGGTCCTCCAGGAATTATTATATAGCTCAGTGATGCATGCTCAAGAATCTAGCTTCAGACATGTTCTGCTTTTTCATGCACCAGGAGATCCTGATCGGAGCTTCCAGCTTTGTTTCCACGCTTCCTGCATTTCATCCAGCAAAATATACACAAAACTAATATGAAAAAAATGGCAAGGAGAGCTACTGTAACAATGAGGATTTTTTTCGTTGATACACGGCTCTGAGTAATCGGCACACGGCTGGTCTGAAAATCTGTTATATTTCCGGTTAATACCAACTTTGTTCCTTGTATTCTTGATGTTGCTCGCAAACGACGGAGTGCGACTGTTGGTTCTATATTTCGAACGAAATATATTCTTTGTTAAGTGATGTGTACCTTTTATAACACGTAAACGTGTAGTAGACGACACTGAAATCTATTGAATTCGTTAAAAACTAGTTTTTCGTTCCTTGTTAATCAGTGCATACACAAGTATAACTCTATCACATTCGTTAAGCTCTTGAAATCACTAAGAATGTCCAATCCATTATCTCATACCTATTCTAAAAGGCGTGTTTCTATTGGCTAAGAGCCGGGGTGTTCAAATTGGAACCTACCTATCAAACCATTATACAAAAATTTCTCAAAACGTTTCCCGAAAAAGAGTGAGATAAAGGCAACCTTCAACCTCCCTGGAAGTGTGTTTTTTATAATTATAGCTTTTCACAGGAAAATCGTTTACCTACCGTCAGTAATAACAATTACGTTGATTTCATTATGAAGATCACGATATCCCACTCTTCGAACATGCAGGCTGTATTCCCCACTATCCAATTTGCTTACGTTATTGATAGTAAAAACTGCCTTTTCTTGTAGACTTGGCTCAATTTCTACACTGTAAATTTCATGCCTTGAATTGTCTCGGCGATAATGTACTTTCTTTGACCCATCCATTGACAATACCACACGATTCGTTATTTGTGAGTTTTCACGAGTCACTCTGTACACAATGATGCCCGTTATTGAGCTGTTCACTGCGATGCACCATGTCCAGTTCATAACAGCCTGATCACCAGGCATGACATCAATGTACTTAGATTGTGTCCTTGTGATCTTTTCACTTTCTACTGTCCCATCACAATTTCCTAATTCAACGCAAGTCAGTCATATTAAATCCTTTTCGCATATTTAAATCTTATTAACCTATGTATATTCATTAAGGTTTAGAAACTGTTTTGAGTGTTTTGTTCACAAATAAACGCACGTGCTGACCATACAATGAACAAGAAATTTCATGATTGAAATTTTCGATACTAAAATTTCGAGTTAATATTGTTTGGTCGGCAATACAGTACATTTATTAATACCAGAAATACAATACAATAAGTTTAAACAATATAGATAAACCTAGGTAATGGTACAGGTTATCGGAAATAATTTCATAAATATATCAAATATCGTATGGTTTAAAAAAATCCTTTATTTCTCTGTTACCCAGAACTAGTTTATAAATAACAGTTTACATATACTTTAATTTGCAATTTAACTTGACTTAACAATTTAACAATTTAACAAAGAATTTAACAATTCTTTTATTCCAGATTTTTAAGATTTGATACATTAGTTTTAAAATAATTTTGATAATAACTCTTCTTACTCAATACAAAAAGCTCATTTAATTCATTTCGATATTTTTTATATTTAATGCAAAATAAAGACTGTTCTTTTCGCAATACTTTTTGAACATCCTATCGATATATTATTTGTCATTTTTTTAGTGGGGCATATTTATCAATTACTTGAGAAATATTCATATAAAAAGTATCAAAAATTGTATTAACATCATTATTTTGGGGCAAAATAGTATTCGATCCCGTCAATCATATTCATTTCATTGGCAAGAGCAGGCATATCGGAATTTGCACAATCTCTTTTGTAAACAACAGTTTCATTGTTTGATTTATACTTATTTACTATCGAGAAATTTCGAATATGATCACTCAAATTCGCAAGTAAGATACTACTAATAGTGTGGCATTCAGCAGAATTAGCAGAATTTATAATAATAGTGTGCGTTTATTTGTAAATAAAACTTGAACATAAAGTCTCTAACACTTTTAACATACAATCTGAGTTTATTGACTGCTGCATTGAAGATCCAAACTTCCTGCAAGCTGTCATTTTTGAATAAACCACGATTTTCATGCGTATTGTTAATAATGAATTATGATTCCCATGATATGTCGCCAGGCAACAAGACACCATGTGATTGATTTCGTCATATCGCGTGAGTACATTTAGGCCAATGCACGAAGATTGTATTTTAAATACATATAAGGCATTTTTATCCTTGTCCTTTTACGTACGCGTCCACATTATGAAATGTGTGTACAACGGAATAAACGAGAAGTACACGCATGCAGTTCCTCTCGTCTTTTTGAAGATGACTGCATGACTTCCTAGGCATATAAGTAAAATACTCGGTCGGATAAAATTAACTTGAGCTATGAAAATTATATTCCACTATAAATTGATTGCTAATAGTTCAAACTACTCGAGCACTTTTGCGGATTTTCGGGACGGTCTATGTGCATTTGACAGAATCCGAGTTTTCTAGTTCAATTTCGACAAAGGAAGCTCAGAGTCATTTAGTGTCGCTTGTAGTCACTGCATAGTTATTCGAAAAAAATTTATTTCACTTTTAGGCATGGCTTGATGATTTTTTTGTTTTGATGATTGGATTTTATAACCGTTGTTTAAGCTTTGGCAGTCCATAACTGTACAGTCGGCTAAATTCAGCGAAAAAGGTGCTATTTATTTCACTTTGATGGCTATAAATTATGCGCAATTTGGGCATCGAATTTTAAGATATAATTAAACCTAAAAATGAGCGAATAAAATAACACATTACAGACAAAAATCATGTTTGCACGTTGCCTGGATCTATCCCCCCCCCTAGCCCTCTGCATGGTTCCGCAGCCCGGTATATCCAACATACAATCTTCGCGCTTTGGCCTAAATCTACTCACGCGATTGGTCAAAATCAGTCACGTGATCATGGGAGTCATGAAATTTCTCGTCCATTGTATGGTCAGCGCGTGCGTTTATTTGTGAACAAAACACTCACAACAGTCTCTATATATAACGCTTCAATAAATCATTCGAGTCGTACCATATTAAATACAAGACTGGGTCTGGTGAGTTGAGAAATTGCTTAATTATTTACAAGGGGTTTCTGATTATTTATTTTTCGCTTTATAAAATCTAAATTACCGATTACATTATAACAAAATAATTTTATGACGTCTCGCGAATTAAGATTAAAGCAAATCTATAAGACGATAGACTATGAGTCTATGACCCATACTTAACAGCATTGATGAGATCAATCAGCTTGTCTGATAAAGATCATCAGCAACTATTGAAAAGTACTCACCTGCGATACATACAGACAGGCCCAGAATGCACTGTAACAGGAGCAACGATTTGAAAACGTTTCTAATATGATCCATCATATGCATGCAAACTGTTTTAACCAAATTGACCATTTGAAGTTACGATTATAAAACTGGTCTCACTAGTAACGGTCACAAATATTTTCAAGTATTTTCTTAAAAAAAATTCACGAATACTTTTTGACATTTGGGTTGCGGATTAATCTAAAAACGAAAAAGAGATTTTCTTAAAAATCTGTATAGTCTCTATATATTATTTATTTCTTCAATAAATATTTTTTTACGAAACTTTTGATCTGTTGAAGTAACAAAAAAACTATTTTCTTTCGTGCGGATTCATTGAAATTTAATAAAACGGAATGTATTTTATGTCATGTTTAAAATTTTAAACTTTTCTTCACCGAAAATAGGCTAGGGGTCCTCCAGATATGAATGTTGGAGGAAGACTCAGCTGAGCTACCCTCTGCAATACCTGAAATAAGGGTATTAGACTTGATCGGCAACATTCAGATTTCTGGTTTGCATGGTGGTTAACTATCAAACCCAGTGAGGGTTTAATATATTTATTATAGGATAGCAACGCCGTTGCTAAAAGTTAATCCAAAGATATTTAAAAGGTTTTTGGATTAAACCCCAGTCCTTTACGTATGCAGCCGATTATTTTTTTTATCATAGAATGTTCTCGAATACCTCTATTCCTCTTATAAGCTCTTTCAACTTCCGCAAAATTTCGCTTCACTTTTACATTGGTAGCAAATTCCTTAAGTTTCCACTCAATATATTATATACAATGTAGAGCTCAATACTGAAACCAAAAATATAACGACACTTCATATAGAGAGAGCTCACTATTTAAATAGTACGTTAGTATGATACGGTCTCGTAGGCTAGTAGCTGAACCATTACTGTCTATTAAAGTGCAGTGCATACCTTACCTATATATAAAGGAATATAAACTATGTAAAAATAGTGTGCTGTGAATTGTATACGACATCATAAAGAAATATATTATACCAAAGGACTTTTAATAGCAAACAAAATTTGCATGATTACCCAAACAATACAGTCTCTATAATTTACCGGAATAACATTTAAACAATAATTATTATTAAAATCACTTTCATTTTCGCTTGCTATATATATCAGTTCCAGCAGAAAAGAATAAGAATAAGCCGTCCTGCATTTATCCCGACAGATTCATAGAAATATGTAAGATAACTAAATGTTGTATGCAATCTGTGCACATAGTTAAAATGTATCATTACGCTGATAGTCCAATTTTCTACTTTATAAATACTCAAATAGCTACTCTTACCATGCACATATATTGCTATCTTGTGTAACGACGTCCTTAGTGTCATACGCAGCCTAATACAGAGCTCAAAATTTAAACCAAAAATACAACGGCACTCCATATAAAAATTATAGAGAGCGCACTATTTAAACCAAAAATATAACGAGTATACGTTAGTATGATACGGTCTCGTGGGTTCGTAGATGAACAATTACAATCCAGTAATTATAAAGAGCAGTGCATCTAGAGTAATTCGTTATAGTTTCCTGTTCACCTATTGGGAAAATTCCCCTCGGCTCGACGCCTACAGATTTTTATTTGATTCGCAGAATTTATTGAGGGTGTTCATCATGAAATTCAATAAACATTTCAATGTTGTCAAAATCCGTTTCGGTTTCGATATTGAATTTACTGGAAGAAACGAAATTATTAAGCCGATAAACGTCCGTAATAATACGTATGCAGAGAATGTACCGAGAGAATACCCAACTATATTGTACGCCTGAACTAAACAAATTGCTGTTTCACTAGCAATACTTACGGTGAACAATATACTGATGTAAACATGAATTTTACATACTGTACAATGCACTGTACGTGCGTCATATCATAATAATTATTGCGTAGGTGCATGAAGGCCGGAAAATTTCGAGGTTGCCAGACGGCTGGACTATAGTACCTGACTGTAACTTACATCATAGTTGACCTTAGTTAACATACCAGACAGTGAGACCAACTCAGTTCTCCGCCAAGTTTATTGAAATTAATTGTACCGTGGTTATTGATCTTTCTGTTGACTGTACTTGTTGCTGTTTAAACTGAATAACTGAGGTTTGTAAAGATGTATGCACTTACCTATAGCAATTCATACTAGGTTTCACCACTCAATTCAAGTTTTGTGCGTTCAAAATAAAGAGTTGTGAATTTTATGACATCATAAAGATATATAATTTATTATACTAATAGAATTTTAATGGCAAACAAAATTTGTCCCTAAAATTTCCCGGAATAAATTTGAAACAAACAATAGTTATTATTAAATTAATATCACTCTCACTTTTGCTTTTGCTTTTAGTTTCCAAAATATATAGTCTCAAGAAAGCATAACAAAAGCAGTCGTGCAGAATGATGTAGGATAACTATAAAGGCTATGTTACACGGTGCAATTTTTCTTGCAAATTGCAATGCAATTCTACTTTAAAGAGATGTAAATTAGTGAAGAGTCGTCAAAATGTAAGAAACGCCATGGAGTGTAATAAAGACAGACGTTTGGTAGCTGCCAAATTTATTTCCTCAAAAGAAGAATAACATTGCAAGTTGCAGGAAAAATTGTACCGTGTGACAGGGCCTTAAATGTTGTATGCAATTTATGTGCATGGTTTATGTATGATTGCGCGCTGATGGTCCATTTTTCTACTTTAAATACTCAAATACTCTTACCATGCACATTGAAATCTTGTGTAACGACATCCTTATTCAATATATGAAAGGTTCATATACGCAGCCGAGCATCTTAAAGTAAAGCATAGAACAGCATAAAGCATGTAAAGAAGCTTATTTAGTTTATAGTGTTCGATGCGGCGCTCTAATGTGTCAGTCAACGAGAAGTGACGTTATTTCTATATAGCTCATTCTGAGTAGATATGTCTGTACTTCAGTTGCGCAAAAATAATTGTTATTAAGACTTAAGGTTTTTTAACAGCCGAAGATGGATTGCTTTTTGGAAAATGGTGTGCGACCGACACTCCTGACAATTTTTTACCAATTCAATACCACTCACGCTTATATTATTAATACATCCGGTCTCCCACTGTTAGAGGAATTGACATGTACTTAGAAAACCGATTCCTGGTAAATGATCATTATTATACGCATAGTGGAAGTCCGTAAAATATGATTTTAAAAAAACATATATATTTGTTCCATAGACTTTTGCATGTACATTAAGGAAATGTAATCACATGACCACAGCTGAAAAGAGAGTTAAAAGAAATGCAAAGTTTGACTGCAAATTTTGTAAAATGCGAGAAATACAGCCTTGCAAATACAGCCTTTTTCACGAAAAATTCACCATTGAGTGAGTACTATAATTGTGAAGAACTTTTAATGTAATATAAAGGCAATGCTACAAAAGATGACTAGTTATCTAGGAAATATAGCCCTCTTTTCCGGACTGGTTACGCATTCTGAATTTGTTGAATTATATTATGATATTGCCTTACAGGCTTGCCTTAAATGCATGCCGCTGTTGTTTATTTAACGTATAATATATACAAGAGAGCAACTGGATGATTAACCACATGCAGTTAAATTCTAGTTTAGTGCACCCGATCGTTCCTCAAAATCCTTATCACCCATTCGCAGGCATTGCAATCCTATAAATACTCCATAGAGATCATAAATGAAACTGGAGGGGTCATCGAGGAGAAATTGGGGAGCGCGTTAATGCAGGGCAAATTCTAGTCCCGGATGTTCACTCATTCGAGGCCAAATAAGTCGTTTTTACATAGTATACAGAGAATTTTAACGAGTTACTTTAACTCCAAAAATGGAGTTAAAAAAAACGGTGACAGAATAATCCGTATTTTAGAGTTGCTTTAACTTGGTAAAATTCTGTGTATACCAAGCTTTTTTTTATTTTTAAATGATTTTTTCCCTAAAATATCATCTCAGCTAGGATGTCTAAGGTGGTAAAACCAGTTCCAAAAAGCATTGTTTTTCCTTAACAAACCGGTAAAGCGACTTAAAAAACGAAAATAATTTTTTATTACAAATTTTAGTTGTTGCTAACGTAGTTTGCTAAGGAGGCATTGATCTAGCTAATCAGCACTTGGATTAGCATCCGGGATATGAATTTGCCCCCCATTATCGCGCTACCTTTTTCGACTGATGTTTTCGATACCAATGTCTGCTCTAGTGTTATTTATAGTCTCTTTGACTGAATACTCACCATTCGCATTTTTCCTATCGAGCTCGCGATCTGCGCTTTGCCTAACCCAATCTGACGAAACTCGCAGTCGTTGAGCTTTCAAAAATGAAATTTACCAACAATCTTGTACTCAAAAGCTTGGGCAACTACAAGTTTTTGCTGAGTGCATAAGCTAACAACACGCGAGACTCGTAATGACTGCCAAATCTTCCTGATGGGAATGAGGGAGGAGTAATTAATTATTATAAGGTCGGTGGTTTTCTAGAATTTTTTGATAGCCTTTCTTAATGTAGTTAACGTGTAGTTATAATGAAAGCAGCTACTATAAATGGGACGCGAAGGCAAGTATATCTAGGCATTTCCCGATAATGCCAGTGAATAAATAATCAGTTTAATAGTCGAGATTTTATTTAATAATTATAGTGCGCAATTAGCAGTATGGGTCATGTATAAGTCTAAAAGTTGCTTCCTGTTAGCCAAAAAAGCAAAAGTTGCTCCAGGTAGCTGGAAAACAGAACAGTTATTCAAATTTTAAAAAGGTTGCTTAAAAGTTGCCGAGCACAATCAGGAAAGGCCTAAGTATATCTAAAGAGGCAGACTGGTTTAGTTTAAAAGCAGTAGTTCCGAAAAAAATTCGGAAGAAATATATTTTCAACTTAGCTGAACCATATGGTTCGATATTTTAAGCGCTATGCGTAATTCTATATAATAATGATCCTCTTTTTATGAAATAGAGGCCTTTTCCCTTCCTCCTTTAAGTCTGCAATTTTCCAACGGTAAATGACTACCAAAGTTACTTTAACATGGTTTGTCATACAGCGATGTTCAGGAGTGATGTGATATGTCAGAAAATCTAGTAAGCGATTGTTTTACTTAATAGATTTTTTAGCTTGCATGCAAGTTAACCCATTTAAGACT